CATTGCAAGACTTGACAGCCACGGGCATGACTCGCAGGGATTAGTATTTTCAGAACAGCTGGAGTGCTGAGGTTGCCTAATCCTGCTTTAAGGTATTAAGTGGGGCTGACCATGAAAAATCTGAATGTACTTTATAATAAATACTACAATAGTGATAAAAAATCTGTCTGCACTGAAAAACACACTGTACTACCCTTTTATAGGACACGCCTTGTTTGTGGGAAAAGGGGAATGATCCTTCCAGAGACACACTAGTGTTGTAAGCTTTTTGATTCCTAAATGGTCTCAGAATTGCTCTTACATCTGCTACTGTCTATAAAGTGCCATGCAATGCAGTGGATCAAAAATGGGGTATTTAGTGCAAAACAGCATCTGCGAAGACCATAATTAGAATGGTAGGTAGCCTGCAAGTCCCTGAGTTAGTTTGGGGATGTTGCACTAATTGTGACACACAGAAAATGCACAATTCAGGTTTATGTTGTGTATCCTAGCAGAAAAGATATACGTGGTCGCTTTTATCTGTTTTCAAAGTATTTCCACATTTTCCAGATTTCGCTGCCTTGATGGAAGCTTTGTTTTCCAAATAAGGCAATCTGCATTACCAATACATCTGCTTTTTTTTAGGATGAATGACTGTGTTGTTTTACAGCTTCTCACTGCTGTCCGTAACACACACACACACACACACACACACACACCCTTTGAGGCCCCATTCACACTCAGCGATTTTTGCAGCGATATCGCTCATATTTCCGCGCTATATCGCTCTATGTAGCTTCACCAATACATTTCAATGGAGCTGTTCACATCTCGTCGCTCAATATCGCTTGTAGCTCGTCGCTGGTAGCTTGTCGCTCCTACATGACCCTTTTTTAGAGCGATTTTGAGCGATATTGCTCCTGATTGCATACAGTCCAATAGGAAGATGTTGCGCAATGTCGCTCGTCGCTCAAAGTCACGCGATTTCCATGTCGCTCAGTGTGAATGGGGTCTCATGTGGCGGCTGCATTCGTTTTCTTTTTTTAGTCTTTTTGTTTTCTTTATTTTCACCTGGTGATCTGGCCAGTAAAACACTTCCTGTCTTAAGCTGACCATACACCTGGCGATTAGCGTACGATAATCGTCAGGTGTATGGGCAGCGTGCGACCGCATATACTGTAAGGTCGCACGACTTTCGTCTTACGAGCACGCTACAAAATCGTACGATTTTCAGCGGGTTGGTGGCACGGTCGCAAGACAAAAGCCGCACGGGCCGAGGGGTGTGCGCAGGCACACACTTCCCGCTCACCATGGCAATCATCTGTTAGCCCTCCCCTCAGCGGGGAGGACTTGCGATGATCGCAAGTACGATCTGCCTGTCCTAGATGGGCAGTTCGTACAGAATATTAATCGCCTTACAACCATCGCACAGCGAAAGTCGTGTGATGGTTGTAAGGTGTATGGCCAGCTGTAGGGTGGGCTCCACTTTATGGAGGAGCAATGGAGCCACCCTTGGACAGCAGCATTGTCAACATGTGGGGAAGGTGGTGATAGATGTACTAGAAGATTTAGATGGACTTGACTAACAAATGAAATCTGAACTCCAACTAACGCTTTTTAAGCTGTTACAGCAATAGTCTTCTTTTTTTTCCCTTTTGGAATAAAGATTTTACATAAAAAAGCTGACCATTGTAAGCACCCATGACCGTGTTAAATGGTTTGTCTCAACCCTCCCACTGCCACTTTTGCTGGACTGCTTAGTCCACTAAAGGGCGCTGAACAATAACAGGCTTACTGGGCGGATCTCCAGGTGAAAGTATAGGGAAAATAAAAAACCAATGCAGCCACAACATATAAGAATTGGTAAGTTGCAATATATTACATTTTTCCTTTTGGCTTTACATACGCTTTAAGTGTTGGCTTATCACAGCCAAGTCTTAATCTTGAATGACCCCACCAATACCCCGATATAGAAATGCTAAATGTTGATCTTACTTGAATTTACATCATGAATTTTCCAAATTCTTTTACTCATGCTAAAAAAAGATCACTGTCCCAGCTGGTATTAATAATATGTCCCAGGAACATTTATTGAATAATTTTTCCCATATGAACCCAACATTATATAATTGTTTCCGCACTGCACTTGCACTTTCAGCCAAAGGCCCCTATCAGAAAAGCAAATGTATAATAAGTCTACATACTCCTGCGCTTACCACCTCCTATTATAATCATATATACACACACACCGTACATTCAGAAAGTATTCAGCGCCCCTCCACTTTTTTCAATTTTGTCATGTTGCAGCCTGATACTACAGTTGTTGTTTAAATTCTTTTTTTTTTTCCCCACCTCATTTATCTACACTAAGTACCCCATAATGACAAAGTGAAAACAGAATTTTAGAAATGTCTGTGAATTTTATTAAAAATAAAAAACTGAAATATCACATGTACTCAAGTATTCAGACCCTTTACTCAGTATTTTGTTAAAGCACCTTTGGCAGCAATTACAACCTCCAAGTATTTTTGGGCTTCCTAGTCTTATGACCAATAGCCTAGTTGTACAATCACTTGATCTCTGCTGTAGGGGAGGCAGCCTAAATCTGATCCTACTCTCTAGCAAACATCACATGTCCATATGTCAAGGATTTTGGTGACCGGACTGTTAGAGGAAGTAGCCCAGGGCAGTTCTCTAGGAAAGTTTGTTTCGGCCTATTACTAATATATGATAAAGCTTAACTCCTGGGAAAATTACAAAACTTCCCTTGCAGTAGGGCTCCCCTTGCCCTGTAAGAGTTAAATGCTTGTTTTTTTTGTCTAAAATACTTTTTTTTTAAAGCCGTTTTTACTTACCTTTTATCCTTTGCTTCCCCAGCCGTGACACTTTCCTCCGTAGTTTTGGGTTGTGGTCAGGCCCTCAGTGTCCTCCCTTTACAATGCAGGATTGCTGGTCCTGTATTGTATGTGATGACGTCAGACCAACAGAGCACCGAAGAGAAGCAGCTTAGGGGGACTGGTCACATGGATAGGAAGAGACTGCAGGAATGAGGGATTTGGTAAAAAAAGGTGTTCTTTCCTAGACCGAAACAAGCATTAACCCCTTGCGATGTGGGGAGCCAATGCAAGGGTAGTTGTATTTCCTCAGAGTTACAGGGCCCCTATAGTGGGGAGGAAACTATATTTAGGAGTTTTTAGCAACATAGTACAAAGATCAGTGAAATGTTTTTAACCATAGCCCGTTCCTGTGTTTCTGCAATGAGAGCGGTTATTCTGGGACACTGATGGGGGGGACAAGGGACTTCCAAAGAATGGTCTCATGAACTATGTCAACTCATGAGACTGGAGGAGTTAACAAGGGATGCTCCGATACCGATACAAGCATCATTATCGGTGGCGATACCGAGTATTTGCATGAGTACTTGTACTCGTGCAAATACTCGGATACAAAAAATGAGTACCTGTGCCGCGTCCGCCATCTTCAAGGACCCGAAAACCGCCACACACAGGAGCTCCATAGCGTCTTCAATGAAACAAGATGGCCGCAAACTCCTCCATGGACGAACGGCCGAAAGTAAACTCCGCCTCCAAGTCCTCAGTCATCTGCTCCATTCTGGCCTCTTCTCCCGCTGATTGGCCCATTGGATGATTGACAGGCTTCCTCACCAGTCACTGGTGAGGAAGCCTGTCAATCATCCAATGGGAGAAGTGTATTATTGTATAGTGTGGCACAGCTATATCCAATTCTGCATAACTGGCTTTATGTGATAAAGTTTTTATCATATAAAGCCAGGTATGCAGAATTGGATATAGCTGTGCCACACTATACAGTGTTCTGGTCTGGAGTCTGGACATGTGCTCATCTATTTCCCCCACTATGGGGATACAAGCCTTAGTTAGCAATGGCATGATAAATATTCATTTCATGTTCAGTTCATGTTCTTCATATTATTAAAAAAACTGACCTAAAATCATGATTTTGTATTGCTTTAGAAAAAATGTGACCTGTCCCTTTAAGAAAAAGTATCAGTAATTGGTACCGGCGAGTACTTGAAAAAAGTATCGGTACTTGTACTCGGTCCTAAAGTGGTATCGGAGCATCCCTAGAGTTGACTGCTCAACTTCATGACACACTATTGCAGTTCCATACGATTTGGAGCCCCTGGGTTCTTTTCAGGTGTAGGACTACCTTTTGAGACCAGATGGCTCAAGCATAGGTCCTTCTTATATTGTTGATAGACCCTTTTTCATGACTTAATGTTTGACTGATGTGCCCAGTACCCTACCCTGCTGACCTTTTATCTTCTAATCTGTTTTCCCTCTTTCTTTCCCTTTATACTTTCCTTTTCCTATTTACCCCAAACGTGGCAACAGTTAAATCTGTTTTTATTGAACAAATAGATTACATGTACAATACATATGCTTTATATTCCTTTCTATAATTTATGACATGTACAGTGGTACCTATTGGTATGTGATCCATGAACATGCTCTTTTTTTTTGTATTGTATGTGCTCCTGAAATTCTTTCTTCTTTAATAGAAACTCAATTGGGTAATCCAAGATGGGTGTCTGGTATTAATTTTAAGGGGGGGCTCCATGCATTTCTCCCTTCACTTTAGAGTGCGCTCCCATTTCACATCAGAGTCCCTCTTTACATCAGGAGCACCCTCCTTTCACATCAGCCCTCCTCTTTCATATCGGGAGCCCCCCCCTCACATCAGAGTCACCCTCTCTCACACTGAGCCCCCTTCACATGTCACCCCTCTTTCACATCAGGAGCCCTCCCTTCACATCAGAGGCATGACACTGTGTGCAAATTTGAGGCACCCTGGTTGAGAAAGGCTGGTCTAATGTAGTCAGCCTGGTTAATGATGGCAGCTGTTTGGTTGCTTAAGATTGTATTTGGTGTTTGCAATCTGTTATTAAAAGCCTCTAGTGCTGAAAACGTGTCATGGTATGATTTCCAGATTTAACTGTTGTTCTTATCGCTTTTTTTTTTAATCTTTATTTTTTTCCAAAGGGACTGCAGGTTGGAGATGAAATCACTGCATTTGGTTCAGTAAACTCGCACAACTTCCAGAATTTACAGAATATTGCCTCTGTAGTTCAGCACAGCGAGGGGGTAAGTGCACATGTTAAACAGTACGCATTGCTTGTAGCACAATTAATAGTGCTCTGTTTGTTTAAACCTGAAATTTAAGCCCAGGTCTACACTGTGTACCTATGACACCCTTTTTCTTTTTTTTGCATTCTTTACTTTCTCATTTGATTCTTTAATTTTCCCTCCCTCTTCTTTCCTCCTGGCCCTGCTCAATTGTTTGTTAATGACCTCCAGGACAGGAATTAAAAAAAACTTTAGCCTTGCAATGGGGCTACCCCCACACTGCAATGGTTAAAGGGTTATTAAAAGAGAACTATGAAGTGAGTGCTTTTCACTCACCTCATAGTTCTAGCCGACCTGTGACAATAAGACTGTCACAGGTCCGCTCAGTAGATCGGGAGGTGAGCGAACACATACCGGCATTCGCTCACCTCTCGATCCTGTCACGGCTCTCTGCCGTGACAGGGGGAGGGGCTGGATTCCCCTCTCCCCGCTCCGATCTGCCAGCGCTGACTGGCGGAACGGACGGGGGAGGGGGCGGGTACAGCCAGCTCTGCCTCTAGATAGGCAGAGCCAGCTGTCAGTCACGCAGCTGGGCGGATCCCGGCACAATTGTCGGGATCCGCTTCAGCTGCGGCGTCTCAGTATACCGCGAGCAGCTCACTGTATACTGCGGCGTCTTAGTATACCGCGAGCTACAGCTCGCGGTATACTGAGCCTAGGGTGACGGGAGGACGCTAGTGTGTGTCCTCCCGTTACCTTAAGGAGAAGTTCCCCGTTTTAAACCCTCACATTTTTTTTTTGCATATATCTACTGCTAGCAAGCAGTAGATATATGCAAAACTTTTTTTTTTTTTAAACAAAAAAACCTTTTGAAACAGGTTTAAACTTGCCTGTGTCTTTTGCGCTCCCGTCCGAACATCTGAAGAGTCTCGGGCGGCCGCAAAGGATCTTGGGGCGGGCGCATGCGCAGTTCAGATGTTCAGCCGGGAGATTAGGAGAGATACAAGGTAAGTAGGGATGTCCCGATGCCACTTTTTCAGGCCCAAGTACAAGTACTTCCCCTCATGTACTTGCCGATACCAATTACCAATACTTTTTCTTAAAGGGACAGGTGACTTTAAATAATCCATAGTACAACTACATGTTATGTACTATGGATCATGATTTAACCTATTCATGTTAGCAGCGGAGAATTGTAACTCTATTGCTGGAGTGTAGTGGAGGTATGTGCTGTATATATGTACTACATATAGATTACACACGTTCAGTACACTATAGCAATAGATTTACAGCCAGCCCCGTCCCAGCTTGCCTCACTCACAGTTTCACTCTGATCCCTGTTGCCTCTCGTAGTCGGCGCTGGGCAGGATCGCTGCATCGCATCTCGGTGCTCAGCTTGTGGGAGGCGCTCACAATTCTGCCCTGCTAACATGAATAGGTTAAATCATGATCCATAGTACATATACAGCACATACGTCCAGTACACTGCAGTAATAGAGTTACAATTATCCCCTGCTAACATGAATAGGTTAAATCATGATCCATAGTACATAACATGTAGTTGTACTACGGATCATTTAACCCATTCATGTTAGCAGGGGATTATTGTAAATCTATTGCTGCAATGTACGGGACATTTGTGCTGTATATGTACAGTACATATAGATATACAATTCTGCACTGCTAACATGAATGGGTTAAATGATCCGTAGTACAGGGCTACATATCATGTACTACGGATCATTTAACCCATTCATATTAGCAGAGGATAATTGTAAATCTATTGTTCAGTGCATTCTATATGTAGTATATAGTACATGTACATATAGAGTGCCTGCAACAATACATTTACAATGATCCTCTGCTAACATGAATGGGTTAAATGATCCATAGTACAGGGCTACATACAGATCATTTAATCCATTCATGTTAGCAGAGTATAATTGTAAATGTATTGTCTGCACTGTATTAGCAGTGTGTACTCTATATGTAGTACATATAGAGTATATACTGCTAATACATGTAATACAGTTCAGACAATACAATTATACTGCCCTCACTCACTGTGAGAGAGCAGCGACGAGTCGGAGCTGGTCTGGTGGGAGGATCTCCAGGTGGGGTTCTAATTTAGCTGGCTCAGAGGTGCCGGCCAGCTAAATTAGAATCCCACCTGTAGCTCCTCTTGCCGGACCAGCGCTGACTCGCCGCTGCGGTTTTTTTTTCTTACTTACCTCGCCGAGCGTCGCGTCACTGCTGCTCCGGTGGGCGGCACTCCAAGCGGGGTCATCTGGCAGTCTCCGGGCCACCTAAATTAGGACCCCACCTGGAGCTCCGCCCACCGGAGCAGCAGTGACGCTCGGCGAGGTAAGAAAAAAAAAAACATAGAGCAAGCTTCGGCGCTAGGCATCGGGGCATTTTGACAAATTCAAATACTTGTCACAATGCCCTGTATCGGGCCCGATTTTGATGCTGGCAACGGTATCGGGACATCCCTAAAGGTAAGTATATGGAGCAGTATGCACCTGCACAGACTCCGTGGGACATCAGCGAAGAGGAGGGCAGAGGAGTCAGCGCTGGTGGGACATCTGAAAACGACAATAAGGAAGAAGATGATCGGATTAAGAGACATCATTTAAGGTAAGTCCTTACACCAACATTGGAGGGAGGGAGGGAAAAAAAATATCCTTTTAATGTCACTTTGTGTTTATTTTGTTTGGGTGCTCAAATTAAGCACATCTACTCACCTGATTCTCGGTCAGTGCTCACCTCTCTCCCCTCTTCGCTCCGGCTATGGAATATCCTTCGGTGTCTTCATGTGTAATGCAATTCAGTGGACCTGCATCAATCCATCAATTGGTATTAAGTCACAATAGCCTCTATGTGTTTCCATACACCAATCAGCCATAACATTATGCACTATGGGAAGAAGGCAAGCCAGCGGAGGCAGTGCGATGCTTTCTGTTGGGAAACCTTGGGTCCTGCAATTCATGCGGATGTTACTTTGACACATACCACTAACCTAAGTATCGTTGCTGACCAAGTACACCCCTTCATGGAAATAGTATTCCCTGATGGCAATGGCCTCTTTCAACAGGATTATGCACCCTGCCACACTGCAAAAATCATTGAAGAATGGTTTGAGGCATTGGGCATCTGTGGGATGTGCTGGAAAAACATGTCCGATCCATGGAGGCCCCACCTCACAACTTACAGGACTTAAAAGATCTGCTACTGACAGCTTGGTGCCATATACCACAGCACACCTTCAGAGGTCTAGTGGAGTCCATGCCTCAACGGGTCAGGGCTGTTTTGGCAGCAAAAGGGGGGCCTATTCCAAATTAGGTGGGTGGTCATAATGTTATGGCTGATGGGTGTATATTTTATCTATAATCAACTAAGTCATAGGAATACATATTAACAAAAAACAATACAGCTCATGCATACCCATCTTGGTATGAAGTGTTCCAGTCGAATAGTAACATTCACCCCATGATCTTTATATACAGCATAACAGTGTCATGAAAAGTATAACAACTTGGCAATGGTTTTGAAAAACTGTGCCATGTGTTCATTTTTAATCTTGAATGTTTCATTTGCAGAGACCTTTAAGTGTGACAGTTATCAGGGATGGAAAGTCTGTTCATTTAGGACTAACCCCACAGCGATGGAGTGGAAAAGGACTGTTAGGGTATGTATGGAAAAAACAGTTTACTCATATAGAGTGCTGATGCTAAAGGGTAAGTTTACCTTTTTTTTTACCATGATTTATGTTACACCGATATTCAGGTTGTAGCATGAAACCTGGTCAAATCACCACTCCCCCCCCTTCCCCACGTAACTGAATTGTGGGGTGCTACTCTCTGCTTGTGTTTTTCTTTCTATTTTGCGGTGACGTCACTGCACTTTTAGTCCATTCATTCCTCCTGCCGTCCATATTCCTGAATGTCTGTTCCTCAATACGGACGTGGCGGGCAGGGGAGAATCTCCACAACATTGCACCCATGATCCACTGCTTTATTATTATTATTATTATACAGGATTTATATAGCGCCAACAGTTTGCGCAGCGCTTTACAATATAAGGAAGACATTACAGTAGTCTGTTTAGCCCTTTTATTTGCATGCCTCATAAAAAAAAAACCAATACACATACCTGTTCCTATGGTGTATTAAAAAACTAAAATGCTGTTAGATATATGTTACGATGTGTAATCCTGTGATATCTGCAATGCTGGCTTCTGGAAGGGAGGAGTTCTGCAGGAGAAGGAACATACACACTGGGCTGTGTGCAGTATAAAGACTGGAGTGGAGGAAATTTGGTTTTATGCCTTCACTGTCTCTCTCACGGGCTGAGTCAGACCAGCTACCAGAGTCCAAGGAAAAACTGCAGCTGGAAGCTGCTTGGCTAAT